TTTATATTTATACACACATACATACATACATGTCCACATAGGTACACATATTTACGCATGTTGGCGTACATAATCATAGCAGGCCATGGCAGCAGACACTGGCGTGGTCAGTAGAAAGTTGTCATTGACAGAGGTACCAAGTTCCATTAAATGTCTCATCCACTACCTTATTCATATAGGTAGATCATATCACATTCGCTTACACTCAACATCTAAACTGATGTCGGCTCTGAACCTTGGTTTCCGGTTCGGGGACATCCCAGCAGTGCCCCAGCACCCCAAGAACATCGACAACCCTTGATACCCGAAAGCCTTACGCAATGAGCACCTTCAGGACAGTGAGGAGGTCGAGCTTTTGGGGCGGAGGCGGCCGGTTCCTCCGTCCATCGACGTCGAGGCACCTTCGGCAGAGCTTATGAGCATAAGGGAGGTCACTCAGGGATTACCTTTGTCGCTGGTGTGAGTCGATCTGATGGTTCGTTCTTGTGAGTCTGATGCCGAGAAGCTCGGAAAGTGTGGATTGCATGCAGTACTGCGGCTGTTTGCTTGTGCTCAAGCTCATCATCCCACTTGTAAGCTCGAATGCTTCAGTGATCCGGCTAGAGCGGCTAGATGTTACAGTTGAATCTCCCACGCTGGAATAATACGAATGATGATATAACGGTGAACTATCGTATTACTACTAAGAATAATTTTTGGATGCTTACAACATAGTCCGAAGTAGAAGCATAGGTCCTTTTGTGCCAGGATGGATCGAAGTCGACAGCCAAGTGCTTTTCACCGCAGAGCCCGTCGAAACAGCCCCCGGCTCTACCGGCTGATGACCCGCATGACGAAGAGGAGGGGTTAGGGTTTAGGGTTTAGTGGGGCACGGACTGGCAGCATCGCAACCTCACACGATAGGCAGTCTAATCAAGAGTCCATTACCCGGTGCACTTTGTGGACGTACCCTTCTAGTTGCGGCCGGACAGGCCCACTAGAATACATCCGATCAGCAGTCCCATAATCCCGGAACAAGCTCCCAAACCCAAAACCTTCAAGACCCAGCGCAGTCTTCGGTCGCTGTAGTAGAGACTTGTAGACAAGAGGTCGGCCTGTCGACGTGTTAGTTCATAGACCTTATGGGCGCTTGTAGGTAGGCCTAGTAAGAGGTGGTAAATTATATACAGTATGAACGGTATGTACGTAGCTTGTAACTGTAGATGCAATGTAGTTAGCCCACGTAATAACACAAGTCTGACGGAGCCTTCAAGGCAAGACCTTGTTTAGTTTGTGCACGTGGTTTGTCCGTTCACGGACGCGTCCTCAACGACTTTCTAGGAGCTGTAGACTCGGGACGGCTTTCGGTTACAATGAGTGCCCCCCTACTCGATCACACAGGTCGTTTCAAGTATAGACCATCACGACATCTGATGTGCAGAGTCAGACAGCTTGATGCTGCTACTTTGCATTGCTTTGAGCTGAAGCGCCAGTGTGCCTCCGAATAACTTGCTAAGCATGCAAGTTCCGTAGCTCTTGAAGCCCAGCCCACTTCGTGTCTCCGCCGCGCAAGCCCGATCTTTGCTCAGACCGTCGCCAGCCTGCGAAGTCATCAGTCGGATTCCGTGGAGACTGGGAACCCCGGTCGAAAGATAGCGGGCTGAGGTTGAGGGATGGAGCAGATCTGAGATTTGGAGGGACCAAATTCAGGCCAGTAGACACCAAATGCTGGCCAGTAAACGCCTGCGCCTCGCATGACGAGCCGGTGCACATAGTTAATGCTCGTAGCCCGCATCTGTCGTACTTGCAGCACTTGCATCAGAATCAACCTCCCAACCCTGACATGCGTGACCCTGTACACCTTTCCCCATCGTGGCAAAATGTGCCGCGAACTCGCAGGCTCACAAAACTCCAAAAAAGCTGTCCCTTGCAGTCCTCGTCCTCAGGGAGGTCGCCAACACGACAACGACGCCAAACTCCAAGATGTCGAGGTCGCGAAAATCGCGCTTCTTGGGGACGCAGGCTCGAAGCTGAACCGTTACTGTACGAGGAGGGCTGGTGAGAGCAGTAGCAATGGCAGCAGCTAGTTGTAGTAGCAGCAGGAACAGCAGAAGCGGCGGCAGTGGCAGCCTGTTCTCTCGTCGTCGTCGTCGCTGTTGTTGTTGTTGGCAGTGGTGGTGGCGTTAGCGGTCTTGCTGCTGCGGCGGCCCCCGCTGTTGCTGCTGCTGCTATTGTTGTGCTGGCTGTGTTGAGATAGAGATCGTCGTTGCAAGGGCAGCAGCGAGGAGTGTGGTTAGGTCTCGCAATGTTAGAGTTGAGTGCGTACATGCTTGCAAAGATTCCAACTGTTCTTGTGCAATGCAGCAGCCCCAGCACCATCCGGAAACCCGAAGTGGAAGCCTTTGCGCTTTCGTTTAGCTCGTATGTTAGCTTCTGCGAGGTGGCAGGCTTGGTTGCCTAGTCCCGAGGTGTTTGGGGTATACAGTTAGGTTCCAACCCCCCTCTTGACATGCAAGCTGACTCGGTAGCTCTACCACTCTCAAAGACCCTACCAGCTAAGTCCGGTGAACAGGTCATGAGCGAGCGGTGGACGCCGGATCCGCCTCTGCTTCTCGTTTGTCCTACGGTAGCCCGGGAGTGACTTGCAAGCCCGCGCTGGGATGTTGTGGAACATTGGACGGTTGCTGCTACTGTACGGTTCCGACCAAGAAGGCGACAACAACAACCGCTGCCGCCGCCACGGCCACTGCCAGGATGACCGAGATGACGACAACCATGACGAATACGACTACGATACCGTTACTAGTTGTCAAACTGATGATGAACATCGATAGGTTTTCATTCAAGGCTGTTCAAAGACTTTAGAGCGGCCGTCCGCATTCCTGGGGGAGTG